TAAAAACTAATTAAAAACAAGAAAGCTCTTTTTTCTTTTTATTTTTATTGCGCTTGCTTTTTTTTGTTCTTTCTTTGTTAATTTAATTAGCTCATCCTTTTATTTTCAAATTTTTTACTTTTATTATTAATTAATTAATCTTATTATTTCATCTTTTTTCTTCATTTTTTCCTTCGAATTAACTATTTTATGATATATTTTTTCTTCAATATTTAAAAAGTAAGAATTAAATTGGTGCAATGGGTGCATCAGGCTTAGGTTCTGGTTTAGCAAATTGCATTAATCTCTCAAATTTGAGACTTAACCTTTAGTAAAAACAGTTTATTTGTTTTGGATTGTGATATTTTTAATTATAAAAACTAATTAAAAACAAGAAAGCTCTTTTTTCTTTTTATTTTTATTGCGCTTGCTTTTTTTTGTTCTTTCTTTGTTAATTTAATTAGCTCATCCTTTTATTTTCAAATTTTTTACTTTTATTATTAATTAATTAATCTTATTATTTCATCTTTTTTCTTCATTTTTTCCTTCGAATTAACTATTTTATGATATATTTTTTCTTCAATATTTAAAAAGTGGTAATTAAATTGGTGCAATGGGTGCATCAGGCTTAGGTTCTGGTTTAGCAAATTGCATTAATCTCTCAAATTTGAGACTTAACCTTTAGTAAAAACAGTTTATTTGTTTTGGATTGTGATATTTTTAATTATAAAAACTAATTAAAAACAATAAAACTCTTTGAATTTATTTGATAGTTTTTATTTGATTTATTTTTTTATCTTTATTATACCACTATTGCTATTTTATTTATTAATTTAAGAAATATTTTTTAATTTAAAAGTTTATTATATTTTGATATTATTTAAGATTTACACAAATTTATTATAAAATATTAGCCAAATCAATGAATCATAAAAATTGAAAGTTATAAGCAAGTGTCTTAAATCAAAAAGATTAGTTGTCTTTAATTAATTATTCTGATTATAAAGAAATCACGAAAAAAACGATGAATAAATATTAAATGTTTGATTAATATTATATCAAATTTTGAAAAATTTTTTTAAATCTAAAATATAAACAAATATATAGATTTTATTATTGATTTATATTTTTAAATATCATTCATATCTATTTTTGTAAGTAAATAAATTATTTATAAAAAATAAAAAATAAAATTTTCTTAAATTAATTAATTCCTCTTAAGTAGCCCTTTAGTTTCTCAAAAAATAATCAAATAATTAGAAATTTTTAGTGTTATATTATTTCTTAATAAATTATATAAATGCCAAGCTTTTATATTCCAGTTATATTTTAGTCTGAAATATTATCCATCAATCATATTTCTATCTTTTTTTATTTATCATGATTAAATAAATACCATGATTTAAATAAAACCTCTGGGAGAAATCAAATTTTACTTTTTATTTTAACTTTTGTGGTTATTTATTAAAAAATAAAGGCTTTTTGCTTTAACTAAAAATAATATAAAAATAAATATTTAAGGTAAGTTGAAATTGATTATGTATTAAGTTCTTTCTTTATTTTTGCATGCATATATACTGGCTGGTTTTTATATTTGTTACAAATCAAAAAGATTATGAATACTAAAATAAATATTTTTTGAATTATTTTGTATAAAAACCTATGTTTAATAATTAATTTAAAACATATTTTTCTACTATATTCCACAAATTAAACTATTATTTAAATATTTATAAGTAATTTTTAACATCCAAATACATTTTTAATTTATGTCAAGATATCTTTTTTGATTATTTTCATACTTTTCGTTTATAATTGAAAAAAGAAAAAACTAAAATGAAGTAAGCAAGTAAATAAGTATTAAATTATGTTATATTTTAATTTTTGTATTTTTTTTCTTATGTGATTGTCTCGAAATAGGCCAACCAATATTTATTTACATTTTTTTGCATATAAATTTGTATCTTATTTTCTTATTAATTAAATCTATTATGAAATTGGTTATTATTTTTTATTTATGATAGTACCAGTAAAATTTAATTAATTAATTTGATTAATTCATGAATTTAGTTTATTAAAAAAACGATTATACTTTTTTGCTTATGAAAGTGTAAAATAAAATTATCTGTTAAAAAATTAAAAACTGTTATGTTTTCTTATTTTCAAGCAATTTTAAAAAGTTCTATGTCATTTTATGCTTTTATTATCAATAAAACAAAATTTACTTTTACTTATAAATATTTTATTATTAAAGAAAAAAATTTTTAATAAGGAACAGCTTTTTATTTAGGATTTAAATTATTAATATAACTTTTAAAAAATAGAATAAGAATTAACTTACTAATTTTAATATGATTGAGTGCACTAATAATCTTTCAAATAATTTATTTACAATTTTACCATCTATTTTAAAATTGGGTTAATTAATTTTTAACTGTTTTGTTTTATTTTTATTTTAGATTAATTAAAAAGAATATATTAATTATCATTCGAAATTGTTTGCTTACAAATTTTGAATATAGATACATACACTCTAATATTAAAGATTTTCTTATAGTTTTAATGTTCTAATTCTAGCTTAAATTCTAGAGTTTTTGTTAGTTCAATATCTATAAAATTAATTAATTAATTATAAAAGTAAAAAAATAAATTTAAATAAATAAAAAATGAAATTAGTTGCTCTTTTGTTAGTACTTTCAGTTATTGCTGCTAATGCCTAGACTCCCACCACTGTCCCTAATTGGGCTAGTTCATAAGGATTCACTGACTATGGTACCTGCATTCAAACGGTTATGGCTGGAGATCCATGCACCTCATCCTCTAATAAGCCTGCCTGCATGACTGCTGGAGCTGCTTATATTACTTGCTGGGTTGCATGCTTTGCTTAAACTAGTTATTCTAGCTTTAGATCTTGCACAACTACTTGTGGTAACACCGCAAAAACTGCTGATTCAACTCTTGGTACTTTGGTTTCTTCTTCTGAATCATGCTTCAGCAAGTTAAGCAGCTCATTATTAACATTATCTGCATTCCTCTTAGCTGCTTTCGCTTTACTTTTTTGAAAGGAAAGAGTATCTAAAAATTAATTTACATTTATATTTAAATGTTTTATTTTATGTTTTTTATATGAAGCATTCTTATAAATTAATTTTTAGATTGTTAAATTTTAGTTAAAATTTTATCTATTAAAATAAATAAATAAATAAATAAATAAATAAAAGATTTGAATGTTGAAAAATTTATTTTCATATAATTTTTTTAAAAATATTCTTAATTTTTGTTATTTTTTTTGTGTAATTATTATACACAGTACAATAGATAAGTTATATAGAATAAGATGCCATTTCGATTTAAGATAAACAAAATTTTTAGTTATTAGAGATAATTTTTTTTAGATATTAAGCATTTATTTTATAATAATCTATCTATTAGATAAATAATATATTTATTATTAGATTAAATTTTATATAATTATATATACTTATATATAAATCAAAACTTTTACATAATTAATACTCATATTTGACAAAAAAGTGAATAAAATTTTTTTAATATTTTTATTTTTATTAATACAATAACTTAAAAAAATATTTTCATAATCTTTATTTTATAGTTAAATAGCATGGTTTCTGATAATATATTATAGTTGAAGAGAAACGATATTTATTAGAGATAATTTTTTTTAGATATCAAGCATTTATTTTATAATAATTTATCTATTAGATAAATAATTTATTTATTATTAGATTAAATTTTATATAATTATATATATATATCAAAACATTTACATAATTAATACTCATATTTAACAAAAAAGTGAATAAAATTTTTAAAATATTTTTATTAATACAACAACTTAAAAAAATATTTTCATAATCTTAATTTATTTGTTAAATAGCATGGTTTCAGATAATTTATTATTGTTGAAGAGAAATCCTTTTCCCCTTTTTAGTATATTTTAAATAATTTAATTTTATTTACTCAAGGTTAGGTTGGTTAATTAATTAGGAAAATAAATCTTATAGTTAACTTAGAACATATTATTTTTATATATTTACTCTATTACAAAAATTATTAGAATATTTTAAATTATGCAAAGAATAAATGGATAATGTGAGCAGAATTTTTTTTAAATAAGGATTCAAATATTAAAACAGAAAATAAAAGATTATCGAATAATTACTGATAAATATTAACTTATTTTTTGGTAGAATTCTCGATTGATAGTTATTTATTTGGTGTTTTGCTTTTTAATTAATTAATAAATTAAAGAATAAATATTTAGGAATAATCATTGATTGAAGGAATCGAATTTAATTGAATCAATCTAGATTAATTTATGGATAAACATACTTTAGATAAGTTTAAGTAGCATAAATGGTATATCAAGGATATGATTGCCGCTTTTGAAAAGGGAAAGCTGATTCATAGCAAAACAACTCCTAATAAAAATATATGGATTTATGAATGTGTTGATAAAAAGAGTAAAAAAGATTACATTATGAAAAATATTAAGAGACAATATGATAAAACCCTTGCTGAAAATCTTTGTAAATAGCTTTTTGACATGTACAATCTGTACGAAAAGATGTAATACAAAACAAACTTAGGATTTATCGCTGGATTTGATATAGTTAATGACGGCAATGAATTTTATATAAGAATAATTATGGAAAAGTGTGTGGGTACTTTGAAAACATTTTTGCAATTAGGCAATAGGATTAAACCAGATTAATTTATAGAGTAATTCAAATCTATGGTAACCACAATGTTTGAGTTAGAAGGGAGAAATGTTAGTCACAAGAATCTTACTTTGAACAACATATTTTATATTTTTAATCAAGAAGGCAGAGTTGAGTTTAAGTTATTTGGATTTTCTAACTTGGTTTGGGGAGCAAATGATGGAAACTTAAGTTATGTTTCGCCAGAAGAAAAATATCTTATGAATACATTTGAAGGATCTGCATTATCTACTCCTTATGACATGGACTATTTTAAAGTATCTAGCAACTTTATTTATTTAAAATCAATATATTTCATTTAAATTTATCAATCGAATTAACTAATTAATTAATAGGTTGATTCTTTCAATTTGGGAATAACATTTTTAGAGCTTATATTTTTGAAAGAAGTGAGCAAATGGAATTTCTCATTAGATGTAATAGGTGATCCAAAAATGCTAGATATTTATTAAAATTAGGATAAACTTAATTCTATGATACATGAAAATATATCTTACTTAAAGGGTCACGAGTTTCTTTTTTCTCTTTTAAAAAATATGATTCATGTAAACCCTCGTAAAAGAGATAGATTCACTAAGATTATTTATCAAATGCATGAAAATTTAAAATTAAAAATCTACACATTTGCAATTGATCCAGCCCAAACATGGAAACCAACAAATTTGTTGCACTTTGAAGATCAAAAAAATAAAGAAATAGAAAATCTACATTCAGGATACAAAAGCCAAATAAAAATTTTAGTAAATAAATTCGTTTATTTAATATAAATAATGTAATTTTACAATCAAAAACAAAATAAAGGAAGAAGCAATAAAGAAGCAGACTCAGATAATTAACTAACTTCAATCCCAAATAGTAATATTTATTTTTTTATGTTGTTAAAATTTGATCTATCACAATTAAAATAGAATTGATTTGAAAAAAATGTATTCAGTGTAATTAAATAATAAAATTAAATTAATTAAAAATATGAATGAATTCAGTTCACCATGTAAGATCAAATGAATTTGATGCAATCGAATGTAAGACATGTCACAGACTAAAGAATTATAAATGAATTTAAAATAATGAAAAAAATTGAAGAACTTAAAGAAAATACTATCTAACCTATCCCTAAAAAGCTTCCTACAGTAAATAATAAATTTATTTAACTTAAAATATTTAAGCAGTTTTAGATTAATTTTTTAGGAAATAATTAGTTTTAATTTTTTGTTTTAAAATAAATAAATAAATAAGATTTAAGAAAAAATGAAAAAGTCTAAGATGGAAAAGTTTGACAAAGAAATATGTAAGTTTTTTAATTTAAATATTTATCCCAAAAATTATAAATAATCTCAAAAATTTAAAGATAGATTTTATGGTTTTTTAAGAGCAAAAATTTATTAAGATTCAATTTATTTTTTCATTTATCAAACAAAATTGACAATAACTAAAATAACAGAGAAAAAATATTTTCTTAGTAAATTGTTTATAAAAAATAAAATTTTATAAAAAAGAAAGAGAAATGAAAATGACATTAGGACCTATTCTAACAGCAGTAATTTAGATTTTTTGATACTGATTGACAACTAAAATTCTATTTAAATAAAAAATTAGATGGTGAATATTATTTTTAACTTATTATAAAAAATAATTTGATAGGATGAAAATAAAATTTATATTTTATTAATTGAAAATTAAATTATTTTTTTAATGACTAAACTGCCTTCATAAAATAGAAAGTAAATATTTAATTAAATGAAATTAGTTTTACATAAATTTAATTAATTGCTTTTATTAAAAAAGATGGTAAATAATTCTTTGATCTTTGTTATGCTACTTGATTGATTGCTTAAATTAAAAATTGCTTGAATTAAATTATTTCTTTAATTAATTTATACCATATTTTATATTAATCTAAGTTCAGACCGAATGCAGTTAATAGAGCTTATTTATTAGCATGGTTAGCTTCTAATACAACTTATTTTAAATATGTTAACATGTACAAAACAGCAGTTAAAGATGCTAGTGATTCAAAAAATTCTGATGCTATATTTGCTGCGATTAGTGTTTTTTTTAAAAATAAAATAGATTTGCAAAAAATATTCGAAATTTTTGTTTAAGATAATTACCTAAGAAAACATTTTATAAGATATTTGAGAATCTTTAAACCGAACTTATTAAAAACTTTTTCAGATTATTTTTTCTTGTCTGATTTAGAATCAGGCTACATACTTTATAAAAAAGCTTTTGCAAATGATAATAAAGAGTGTTAGATTGAATTTGTAAAGCTAGCTAAATAGTTAGTTGCAAATAATAGAGCAGAGAAACTTGAAGAAATTGTTTTAGATCCCATCACAGAGCAAGTTTAATTTATGAATAAATATGTAATAAATAACTTTTTCAATTACAAATTTCAATATTTTTAGTCTGTTTAATTGAAAAAAATCTATTCCATCAAATAAATATTTTTAAACTGGTTGTTAATTATTTTAATTTAATTTTTTTGGTGTCAATTTTTCATGAAAATTGATATTTGATTGATCACAAACTATTTAAATTATTCAAAAGTAACTTAAAAATATTTATGTTTCTTTTATTTTTTGAGATTTTCATATTTTTATTTTTTTTAAATTCTTATTTTTTAAAGAATGTGGATGTACTGGCGACTGTAAATGAAAGATTGGAGGAGTTTTATGAGAATAATTAAATAGATAAAGCTAACAAATACATTTAAGAATAAAATTTCAGTCCAAGAATGGTTGTAATTAAATAATTCAAAAGTCTTATTAGGATTAAAGATTTCGAAAAGGCTGATTAATATATTGAAAAAAATAATTTTATTGGGTATGATGAATAAAACAAAAAAAAAATTTATAATTTAGATTTCTAATTGATTGCTGATTAGTTTTATAAATCATAGCAATATGAGAGGGCTTGGAAATACATTTTGAAAATTGAAGATGTATTTGTAGCTTGCGATATCTTAGTAGGGCTAGATCAAACAGACAAGGCAATAGAACATGCTGTATAAAATAAAAACATTGATGCCCTATAAGGAATATTAGCTAAGTACAAAAAATAAAATTTAGATGTTTTTTAATTTTTCAATTTTTATAAAATAGGACAAAAGATGAGGAAACTCGCTCAAGAATTATTTAGCTTAAAGAAGATGTAAAAAAATAATTGGCTGAGTAGAAGAAAATTAATTTTTTTAAATGAGTGTTTGAAATAAACTTATTTTAAAATGATGAATGCAATCAGCTTTTAATAAATGGAATATCTTAAAACCAACAATTAATGTCTTTCTAAGCAAATAGACAAGAAAAAATACCATTAAAATTAATTAATAAATTTTGTGTATAAAGTGAGTTTGTATTTAATAAAGTATTTATTCGCTGAATAATTCACCACAAATAATCAAAATTTCTAAATAAATTTCTGATATCTAATCCATAAAAAAGTACATTTAAAAGAAAAAATTGATAATATATTTATATATAGCAAGTTGTTGTTCATAACCATCAAATTATTAGCTGACTATTTTCAATTAATCTAACTCAAAATAGAATTTTACAGAAAACTTACAATTGGCTTGCAGTCAATCATTCTCTTGAAATTCAATTTTATTTTGAATTTTCAAAACAAATTTCATTATTAAATCAATAAAATGTAGTTTATAAAAATTATCTTAAAAAAATCCATTTATTTTGTGGATAAATATCAAAATTCAATTTATTTTGATATGAATTATACTTATTGTAAGCTAAGGTTAATTAAATGAAACAAATTTTTGATCACAAATAAATAATAAATAAAGCAGATAAATATATCAATCAATCAATCAATACATAATATATATTAGAGTTATATATTTGATATAATTACTAATCATCCATAAGAAGTATTTACTTCTATTATAAATAAATAAATTATTGAATATACAGCAATTCATTTGTGGTCATTAATAAATAGGCCATTATTTAGTACTAGTTTTATTATTCTTTTCCTAACTATGATCATTTTAAGACACAGGATGGATATTTATTTCAAATTTTTTAAAATACAAAAAGATAATCAAAGAATAGCTATCTAAGCTTATTAAAATATTTAGTATCATCAAACAAGGGTTGCTATAAGCATTATTAGTACAGAAGCTGAAAGAATAGTTGAGTTTGCTACAGCTTATTAAGCTAAAGGCAGACAGGTATTTTTAATGCAGGTAAAATAAGAGTTAACTTGCTATGTTTTATAAGGACCATAGCAATCAGATATACATCCGCTCAAAGAATCAGGAACAATAGATTAATCCTTCATCTGATTCCAGACTTTGTATAGATTTTGACAGTTTACACTATTATTGTAGCAAGTATAAAATGTATTTAAATCATTCTAGCAGTTTACATCAGTTCCGCAAATCGTAGAGGCTCCACAAGTACTTTTTCTACAGTTTTCGTAATCTAACTTAGTGCAGGAAGCAACAGTTAAAAAGCTGATTACAATCAAGGTTAGTATATTAATTTTCATGATTTATATTATAAGATGTAATTATTTTATATCAATTTAGTTAGTTAATTATTTATTTAGTAAGTGGTTTAGTGAGTGAGTGTGTTAGTTAGTTAGCACTTTATCTTTTTCCTTCTTTTTTTAGCAAAAACAGTATTTTTTAAAAAAATTAATTATTATATGAAAGAAAGAAAGTTTACTCTTTTTATTAGTATTAATTGAATACCACTTATTACAATCAAAATTTAATTAATGGTTAGGACAAATTATTATCATAATCCTTATTCTTCTTTTAAGTGATTTAAATATTATTTCAATTAATACTTATTACCTCATTCATTCAAAAAGTATTTTTACGCTTATTTTGAATATCTTTTTAAAATATAAACAATATTATTAAATATAAGGCAAAGAGAGGATATTATTAAATTAATTGAATCAAGTTACTTGATAATATTTTTTTTAAATAATTTATATTGATAGAAATAATTTTAAAATGAATAAAACTTTAAAATTTTATGATATTAAATACAATTAGTAGCATGATTATATAGATGAATTATATATAAAACAGTAATATGCTTCTTCAAAACTATTAAAATTTAATTAATATTTTTTGTTTTATGTTATTTAATTTTATAGATAATTCATTTAAAATAATTATCTTAATATGTTAAAATATATTAACTTTAAAATTTTTCTTTCTACCTCAGATATAAAGTGTATATATTTTATAATTAATTTGAATATCCTTAAAAAAAGTAATAATAATTATAAAGATAATTTATATGATTAATCAATTTAATCAAATACATTGCTATTATTTTGCTATAAATTTAAATTAAATAATATTATAATTAATAAAATTTTGTAATGATATTACGGATTTAAAGTGATCCATTATACAACACTAATTAGCTTTATTATTTAAATTTAATAAATATTTTGGAATTAATAATTTTACAGGCGATATTAATTTAAATTATTTATATTTTTTAAAAATGTATTTTTATATATTAAATCAGAAATTAATACCTAAAATACCAATATTTATTTTAATTGATTTAAATTTCAAATTTTAATTTTATTTAATACATCATTTATAATGTAAATTTATTTTACACTTATTTTGAATTCTTTTATAAACGAAAATAAAATATTTAAATTAATATAAAGCTTGTGCTACTAGAAGATTTTGTAGATTTATAAAATCAAATGCATTGATAAATATTTAGTATTAAGTATGAAGATTTTTAATTTAATATGAAATAATTTAAAAACCAATAAACTTTGAAATAATATTATATTGAATATTATAGAGGATTATATAGATAGATGCATTATAAAACACTAATTAGCTTCAAAATTTTTTAAATTTAGGTTAATAATTCTTATTCAGTTTTGAATAATTTTACAATAAACTCATTTAAAATAATTATTTTTTATATCTTAAATAATTTATTTTTATATATTTGATTGTAAAATTTTATTTTGCATTATTACCAATTATTAGTGATGGGAAGAAAGGCTAAATGAAAGGTATTTATCAAAAGATTATCAATTATTATTCAAATTACAATCATATTTATATTTTAGTAGCTCATCTTCATCGTCAGCATTGTTTTATTTATTAGCTGCATTTATTTCATCTTGATCATAAGTCATCCCTAAGATTTGAGGTAGTTTTATGTTTGTTTGTAATGGAGTTTCGAAAATAGCTCTTGGTCTTACTGCTGCCTTGGTAGGTTTTTCTTATTAGGTAAATTTTTTAATAGGAGATTCAATTTTTAAGTTTTCAAGAGCTTCCCAATCAACATCATAGAAAAACGGATGTTCTTTTAAATCAGTAAACGAGTTTGCTCCTAATCTCATTTAAGGATCTGAATTTAGCAACTTTTTAATTAAGTCTTTCAAGTTAGGGGAAAAGTTCTCTGGATATGTTGGTCTATTCATTATAATTTGTTTTGAGATTTTGTCATAGTTACGATTTTTATCTTAAAAAGGAGGATATCCAGCAACAAGTTCATACAAAAACACACCAATACCCCATAAATCTACATTCTTATTATGACCTTTATTTAATACGATTTCTGGTGCTAAATATTCAGGTGTACCTGCAAACGTGTATGTTTTCTCATCCTAAAATATTAAAAAATTATTATAAATTTTAAAAAAAAATATATTTTGGGTTTAATTTATTTGCTTGAATGATAAACATGTTTTTTTTAAGATTCATTTAAATCATCTAATTTTTGATAAAACTTTTTATAGAATAATTTTGTCTAACCATTTTTCATTTTTAATGAAGCCTATCTTCAATTTTAAAAATTAAATAATATCTCTTTATCATAAAACTAAAAAATAATAAAAAAGCCTTTTATTTTATTTATTATTTCTTTCTTCGAATATCTGTATTTAAAGCTTTAAATTTAAGAACATAATAATTAAAATTATCTCTTTTATAATTAGTGCTCATAAAAAAATATGCTATGCCTCAAAATAATACAAAAACCAGCTTGATACTTGTAAAATGTATCAATAAAAAGATATTTATTTATTTATTTATTTTAGAATTATCCATTTTAATATTGCTATTCAGCTTATAAATTTATCATTTATTCATTTCTTTTGCTATGCTATTATATAAAAAGTTATTCAAAAGGAGATAATTTTTGAATTGAATTATTATTATTATAAGTTTTTATTGAATTATACCTTGTTTTAAAATTCTTTAGAAAGACCAAAGTCAGAAATTTTTATATGTCCACTCTTAGTTAAAAGGATGTTTTCAGGTTTTATATCTCTATATATAATTTTTAATGTTTCGTGAAGATACTAAATGCCTAGAATGATTTCAGCTATGATGAATTTGGCTACCTTTTCAGTAAACTATCCACAATGTTTTAACAGGGTAAAAAGCTCTCCTCCCTATATGTATTCCATAATTAAATAGATTTTCTTTTCTGTTTGTATGCAATATTTAAGTTGAACTATGAAAGGGTGAGATGATTTTAATAATATAGTTTTCTCTAAAATAGTTGCTTCAATAAGTTACAGCTTAACCATATCAATTTTTTTAATAGTTTTCATTGCATATTTTCTTTAACTATCCTTTTTAGTAACTAAATAAACTTATCCAAATGCTCCTTTGCCAAGAGGACGATCAATTACAAAATCCTATATTGATAAATTTTTCCTGCTATTAGCTGATATCCTTGAGCTAGAACTAGAGCGAGACCCTACGGATCCAACCGATCCACTAGATAAACGCTTGATGTTTTCTGTATCTTAATATGTATCCTGATTCTCTACTGTTTCCGCTAAATTGACTACTAATTTAATCTATCCAGTCTCTTTTTATTATGGTGTTGGTGTCTCTTATAATTGTTGGCTTTGAGGAGGTACTCTTCTAATCTGTAAAGATGATTTAGCACCTACGCTTTCAGTGTTACCATCCTTATCTTTGTTGCAGCAATTACCCATGCTTTTAACCTATTTTATTTGGAAATCCTTCTTTCAGCTTTACAATTTTTCTAAAATTTTCTTGATAAATTGTTTGGTAATATTTAGATTTATATCAAAAATTGATGAAAAAGATAGGTCTGCTTTATTCACTAACATATTTTTACTTACTACTTATCTATTTTTTAAAAAGCAAACAATAACAGATAAATAAATAAAGAAAATAAATTAAAAATACTACTACTACTTAAGAGATCACTAATCAATAAATGGTATGTCTTAAATACAATAATTAAACTATATCCTTGAATACTCGATAAAATATATTCTTAATTAAATCATAATTTATCTATTTTTTAATTCAAGAATTCAATTAGCAACACACATACCATCACATTTAATCAATAGGTATGAGAATGAGAGTATTTACATAAAAGATATCTAAGCTAATTCATCAAATTGTTATCAGACATTTTTGTTTACAAAATTTTAAGATTTTTATGAACAATTTCTATTGTTAATATTAAAATTTGTGCTTTGGTCATGATGATATTTTTAAAAAAATAGCCTATATAACTAGATAATGTAAACAAATCCACATTTAAACATATTAAATTAAATAATTATCAAATTAATAAATCAAAAAATTAGCTTTGAATATCCCTTAAATCTGCACTAAGGAGCAGTAAAATAGATAGTCTATTATTTAAAAATAGACAAATAATAAAATAAATATCAATTTTGATAGCACTGATTTTAAATTTTGATAATAGATAAATAAAAACCAAACATCTATCTTTTCACAATAATAAATATTTATTTCCAAATCATATAAAAAATTATATTTTGTAAATAAAAAATATATTTTCTATTAGCATAATTTTTATAAATTTCTTTATCCACTTCACTTTCTTTTTTTAAAAGAATAAGATTTTTTTATAATAAAATCCAAAAGTGCTTATTTTTTTTCAAACTAAATAAAGGTAGGTTATTAATCATTTTATTTATTTTGACTATTTTTAGTTTAAAATAGTTTAATTATTCCTTTTTATATTGTAATAAAAATAGTAATTGATTAGATTAAAAATAATTATTTATTTAAGGAGGGTCAAAAAAAAGCGATATATTTAGGTAGAAAAACTGTTATATCTATTGCGATTTAAACTAAAATTTTTGATATTCCTTCAACTACTAATAAAATTTATTTGAATAGAATTAAAGCTTTCATAATCTATATTTTTAGAAACTGTAAAATAAATAAATTAAAGGTTCGGTTTTTTTTAAATTAAAAATTTACAAATGAATGAATGAATATTTTTCAAAGGAAAAAATGTTAAAATATTAATTTTAATATAATTTAAAATTTAAATTCGTCATAATATTCAAATTGTATAATTTCATTTCCAGTCGTTTTGTAAATGAGCTCTCTATTTAATTTATTTATTTTTATTTAATATTTTAATAAAAGTCTTTTTTCAAATAAATAAATTAATTAATTAATTAATTACATGCTCATATGCCCACTAAGCATACCCCTTGGATTTTATTTTTTCACTTTCCAAAAACTAAGTTTTTTGCCATTATTCCTCTATTTTTGTGTTAAGTGAGTTGTTTCTTTCTTTAATTTTTGTGATTCTTGCATTTAGAATATTGTATTTTTTATTAAGCTCCTCTTTTTAGAATTATATACGATGGTTATACTTTGTATCAAACCTATCCTGTTTTGTTTCAAAGTGTTAACATCTTAAATATATTAAAAATAATTTTACTTTTTCATTTTAGTACATTGGACTATTTGCAGAAACACCAATATTAACAAAAGTATTTTGATGGAGAGGAGTGGCACCAAATCTTGTTTTTTTTTGCTCCTCTTTATTAGTAAAATAATATTGTAAATAATAATTTTAATTTCAATTTTACCTAATGTAGAATTATCTGGACGGAAACTATCTCTTAAACTTTAAATAGTAGTTTTTATCATAGGAAGCATTGATTTAACTTTATCATTCTTTTCTGCAGCAGGAAGAATTGTAGGGAAAACTGTGTTTTTGCCTTCAGGATTGTTTATTGTCATTCCAGATCTTATTTTTGAACTAAATTCATGAAAGTTGACATAACCTTTCTACTCAGGATCAAAATACTATAAAAAGGGTCTGATTTCTTCATATTCAAGCAGATTTAATTCTTTTATCTTCTAAACAAGATCTTTCTGAGAAACATAGCCTATTTTTATGATAATTAAGTGTTTAATATTTATTTAAACATTTTTTTCAATATTAATAAAATATATGTTTTGGCTTTTAATATTAATTTATTCTTTTAAAATAAGTAATTTATTTTTATTATAATTTATAAAATTTTATTAAAATCAAATTCTTTTTTTATGAATTTTTTTGACTAATTTTAAAACAAACAAAAATAAATTGATTTACCATCATTATCAGTATCGAATGATCTATAAACTTCGAGAGCTTTTGTTGATGAATTAAATAGTCTGTTTTCTACTTTCTATAAAATTCTATTTAAATTGAAGCTCTTTGATTATACAAGAGTCTTGTAATTATTGATGGAGGAATTTTAATTTTAAAAGACATTAGATTATTTGAAAACATCAGAATTTTCAGTTTTATTTTAAGTATCATTTAATTTTGTCTTTTACATATCCTCAAAAGTACTATTCATGTTTTTTGCTAATTCGTTGTTGATTGTTTCTAGTTAAGGCGTGCTTGCAGAAATATTTTTTTGAGTGTTTAGATTGCGTCTCCGCTTAGGACTCTTTTCCTATTACTGGTAGAGTGTACTGTTATTATTCAAAATTGTACTTTCTAATTAGTTTTATTTATTTTATTCCTCTTTTTCTTCAATCCAACCATTCTTTTGTCTTATATATTCCTCATCATTTTCTTTAGATTCTAAATCTTCTTTTGGGAATTCATCATGGAATAGCTTAGAATTTGGTGGAGCTGGTCTGTTCTTTTTCCACTGCATACGTATATTCCATTCTTTATCTGACTCTCTAATTTATAACAAATTAATTATATTGATTACATTATAGTCCTTTTCAAATAAACTTGCCAAAAAAGAGGAAATAAAAATATTAAAATTGTAGTTGATTTTAAAATTAATTTTTTTATTTTTAATCACATTGATTTCACTTAATTTAAAAAATTAATAGATATTAAATTGTAGTTCTTTGGTGCTAATTATTTGACATAAATTATAATATGAATATTCCTTGAAGCTTAATTAAGATTTCTTTAAAAATGAATTATATTTTTTTAATTTTGGGATTATAATAAAATAAATTTTTTTTAAAAGAGACATATTTATTAAATAAAAATTACTCATAAATTAGAGGAGCTATCTCATTAACTGGGGTATATCCGTGGTTGTTATATCTAAAAGCTGAAAGGAAACCTTCTAGTTCATTTTAAGTGACATCCTTTTCACCTACAGTGAGGAAAACGTTTTTGAAAAATTTAGTAAGATTTTGTTTTGAAATATTTTCTCCATCTGTTTAGTGAAGCTGTGAATTTAGAAAATCCTAAAATTCTTTCTTACTAGAGAAATATCTTTAAATCGTTTTAAAAACTTTATTTGCTTTGGTTCTAATTAGTTCCAGCTACCAACTATTTTATTCATGAGAGTCTATGATGTGGATAGGCTTTTCCATACTTAAGAGTTTTTAATGTAATAATAAATTTTTATCTGAATTCTTCTTCAAATGAACACCTTCCTCCTCTACTTCTGGTTTCTTATTAAAAATAAATATTATCTTTCAAGAAAGACTAATTTAAAATTCTAAATTACATATAAATCTTCTAGTATAAAGTTATAGTTTCTTAAAGTATTTATGAATTTTTTATAATCAAATTTGTGTTCGTCTATTTTATATTGATCATACAATCTTCTAATGTCTCCTACATCCATGACTGTAGTAGGAATGGCTACTTTTTTCATAGCTGTTTCAAATTTTTCATAAGGTATAAAACCAAAATCAAGAGTGTCTTGCTGAAGTATTTAGTTTATAATAATTTCTAATCTATTCTTTAAGACTGCTAGCAATTACTTTTCTTTTCTGCTGTTTTTAACTTTGCTTACATCCTCTGCTAGTTTATCTACGACTTTAGCTCCTCCAACTAATTCCTGCATTTCATTTTCACTAAGAACTAATAAAAAAAGTAATTTCAAATTTTATTAAGCTATTTGTAAATTATCTACCTGGAATCTTTTTCAAGTCAACATTGAGTGTTTCATTTGAATTAAAAATAAGATACATAAACTGATTGAGATTTAAATATCCCTAATTATTTTCATCAGCTGAAGCTACAAGCACACGAGCTTCGTCCATATTAATTTTGATTTCCATCTTATTCAGCATCTCATACATTTTCTTAATTGTAATAATACCAGTAGCATCGTAATCCCAAGCAGCAAAAATCTTTTAAAAATTTTTACGATTTGCATACCTTCTTCTCAAAGCTTTTCTGATTTCACGAACATTTTCTAGGTCTATCTTACCTTCTAAAGTATCTCTCTATTCTAGACCTACCAATTACGTTTCTTAAATAGCTGTAGCATGCAATTCGTGTTTCTCATTAACTAAGCTTTAAAACTCTGGATCTTTTTAATGTTAAATAACATAAAAGTGTTATATTTTTATTAGTCTTAAATATATTGATCATAATTAATATATTTATTTATTATTATTTCCAGTATTTAAATAATCTTAAATAATAATAAAACTTCTTAAAAAGCGAAAACAACAACAACAATTAAAATTGTTTCCATTAAAAATCTGATATAGTCTAAAAAAAATAACTTAATTTTAATTGCTTATTCGATTAAAAAATATTTTATACGATTTATATTTCTTAATATTGCATTTAACCAAAAATTTTTCGATCGAATTAGCTTATTTTTATGGCTGCTTATTGATTTAAATAAGTTGTAAAATCATCTAATAATAAATGAATGAATAAATTAAATACTCTTTTTCTAACTCTTTGTCTTGAGTTTAACATATCCAAATTATTGCTTTTTATCTCCCAACAAATGCGAGTCTCCTGTAAATACCTTTAGTTTTTCCCCATCTTCTAAAGTAGAGTGATGAGGCGGAATTATTATAGATTTCTCTTTAATTTATTTTTGATTTGTCTTGTAAAACTATTCAGCAATCTCCTATGGGTGAGGGGATGATCTCATAGTCTTTGACTTTACTATTTCGCTGAAATTTTGTACAGATTTATTTTTAGAAAGAAAATCTAATCTTTCAAGTCCTTCAGGTCTAGTGTAGTTCTTAGGCCTAAAAATGTTTATTTAATCCAATTTATTTGTGCCTTCATGCATAATACATAAAGCAGAATTGTAATAGGCAAATATTTTACCTAAAATCAGCATTACTGCCACCTACTTCATGTATTCTCTAAGTACGTAGCTTCATTTGAGACTTTATTCACTTATACAATTATATTTTACAACTTTATTTCTAATTCAATATGCTTAAACTTTATGTTTTTTTATATAATTTTCTTAAAAAAGTTTGCTTCACACTAACTAATCAGTAGAACAAAAACAAAAAAAAAACTATTATCAAATCAAAATAAATAATAAGGTAAGTAAGTGTATTGTTTATTCAAACTCATATATACATATATACATACATAAATACATATAATGAAATCAAACAAGATATTTATAAATTTACATATTTATTTTTTACTATTATACAAAAAAGAAACAGAATTTTCAATTTATTTACAAATAATAATGATATTTAAAAGCTAAATATAATTTTTAGAATAAATCTAAAATCCTTTTTCAACAATGAAATCGTTTGATTAATAGAAATTATCATGATTTGTTCTTAAGTTATAAAAGCTAATTATTTTTTTATTAAGAGAATCAGGAAATTGTAAATTAAATATGATTTTGACAAAAAAATATTTTAATGATTTAAAGATTTATTACAAATAAACAAAAAAACAAAAAAAAGAGTGAATACAAACAAAAATACTAATTTAATAAATAATTCAAATATTGGCTGAATTTTATTCTCAAATCTAAAAGAAAGCTTCAAAGTTAATGTCATCCTTATTAAAATCGTCATCATCAATAATTTCTTCAAGATTTGCGATGTCGCTTTCTTCAAAAGTTGCTGAGAACAAAATAAGCTAGAAACCTTCACTAATGTCATCGTAAATTTTGTTTAGAGTATCCCTAAGCTCATTCTTGTTAGAATCCAAGACTTCATCAGCTTCGTCAATAATTAAGAACTTTAGGTCTTTAGTTTTAATGCTGTTTAATATTTTCTAGATATAACCAGGAGTGCCAATGCAAATAGAACCCTTAATATCTTTGGTATCAGTGTCTCTAAAGAGATAAGATATCTCATACTTTTTGCTTGGAGGCATAATAGCAGCTATTTGTTTACCAATTTGCAAACAAAGATCCTTTGTGTGAGCCATTATAATTGCTTGAGGACACCAAGGCTTGCTCATTGGTTCTTAGCTTTTAAATTTTTCAATCATTGGGGTGAGGAAGCAAAGAGTTTTACCTCTGCCGTTTGCGAAACCGTATACAGAGATGTGCTTATAAAATTTAGCTTTATCAACTTAGTAATTGAGAATTTTAGGAACACAAATAACTTATGAAGGTTTAGGGTATTTAAAGCCATTATTAAAAAGCTAGGTTTAAAATTCATCGCTAATTCCTATATCTTTCCAAGATTTCTCTGAAACTAAAGTTTTGAAGAGTTCATTTTATTCTTTGTTGTGCTTATAGCATTCTGCAAGATGATTTTTTATTTGCTCAAAATCTTCATATTTTATAATAGTAACATCAAGTTTTTTAGCTAGATCGATAACAGCTTCTTCTCCTTCTATGTTTGAAACTGAAATGGCTACACCCTTCTTATTAGAACGACCTGCTCTACCTACTCTATGAATATAAGTTTAGACATCTATTTCATCAGGCTTAACGGGTCTATTTTCGTCATTGCTCTTCTTTTTTATATCTACAGGAATATCGCAATTGATTACTGATGTAACTTCGTTGAAGTCAATACCTCTTGCAACCAAGTTAGTTGTTAAGAGATAATTAAATTCACCATCATCAAATTTACGACGAATCAACTTTCTTTCTTTTATATCCTAATCACCATGGATAATATTAAATTTGTCATTCATATCACTAAAGCGCTTATCGGATTTTAATACTGAGAAAAAGTCTAATAGATACTTCTTTTCATTAAAGAAGATAACTACTTTTGGCTAAGCATCAGTGTCTTCAATCAATTTCTTAATAAAATCGAAGATGAAGTCTCTCTTTTCTTGATCTGATTTAACTTTGTGAAACCATTGCTTCACATTTTTCATTCTGTCCTTTAAATCTGTCTCAATCTTAATATCAGCCATTTCTTTTTTAGTCTGCTAATATATTTATATATCTTTTATTTCTTACTAAATCTAATTATTTAATTTATTTATTTTTAATTAATTTATCAATTTATTTGATTTTTAAAGTCTGATATATTTTTTTGATGTTATTATTTCTGTATTTAAAATAAAATTTATTAAAATTTACGCTCTCTTTAAGAAAAAGCTAATAACAGCAAGTGTCTATTAAGTTAATCGACCACTTAATTAAATTTCCTTATAAATATATATATATTTTTACATATTAAAATGTTTCCTTTCACATTTCATAGTGTTCCACAAACATTTATCTAAATTGAATTATACAAATAATTAAAAAAAAAGAAAGAGAGTAATGCAAACGCAAGTTAATGCTCACTTCTAAAATAACTACCCCCTAATTATAATCTTTTAATTGTTTTAAGTGTGTGTGAAAAAAAATAATTTATTTGGATGGTGTCTTCTTAACCTAAATTGTCCATAAAATGTTAAATATATTTTAGTATAGTTGATTAATACTTAAATAAAAGAAAAAAAAATACTTTTATTTAAAGTATCTTGAGTAAATTTAGAGCTAAATTCATCTATCCCCTATTAAATTTTATAAATAAAATACTTTTATTTTATTTAGATACTTTCATTAGGTTTTATAAAAAAAATTATTTTATATTTTAAGTAAATAGATCTATCTATTCTAGATTTTAAAATTTTCACAGAATCCTTTTCATTTACTAATTCCTTTTTGTTTTATTCCATAAATCAATATATGTAGGTATTGTATAATAAAAGATTTATGATATTGTAAATAAAGGATGATTTGATAATTTAGAGCTTTAGGAAATGTGTTTGAATTTTAATTATCTAATTCTTATTGCATCCATTGACTGATATTTATATTAATTAATAAATATTTAAATTAAATTAGTTTGTAAAAAACTAAAGAATTAAGTTTAATTTTAATAAAATAACTAAATATATTTCTATGATATCATCAATAAAATGTTAATAATAATCTTAAAAATAAAATAATGACTTTCATTGTTAAATTTCAGTTTAAAACTATGATGATAAGTAGATAATATTAAAGATAATTTTTATATTATCAACATTTTCAGTTTTTATAGAATTAAAAGTGAAATTAAAAATATTTTTTTTTATTGTTAGTTAATTAACTAGCATTTATTTTTTTGGTTTAATTATTTATAAAAAAATATTGAATATTCTAATTATGATAAAAATTAAATATTTTTTTTATTTTACCTAAAACAAGCTTAAAGAAGAAGAATTTAAAAGATTATTTATGTTATTTAATTGATTGATTTATTTTAGTTTAAGATTGATAAATGTGTGATTGAAAAATATAAAATTTTAAATTGATTAAATATTTAGTTGAAATTATGTGCAGTTTAAGCCAAAAAATAATGGTATATGAATATATGTGTATGTATGTTGAAGATTAGTTAAGATTAGTTTATAGATTGAAATCCATATATTCTAGAAAAAGATTCATTTAAATAATTAATTAAAATTGATTTAATCTTTGTTTGCATGCAAACTTTATTTTAGATAGTAGGTAAAATAAAAAGCTTATTAGGATTTAACAGAGGACGGAAGGGTATCTAAAAGATGGATAATATAAATAAGAATAATCAGCAGCTTTCTAATTAAATTTCAATAACTTCATACAATATATTAGCAGATTTATACACTGATCCCTGGTATTTCCCTTATTGCCCGAAGCAGTATTTAAATTTTGATTACAGAAAATGGAAGATAGTTGAAGAAATAAAGCTTATTAACAGCGATATTGTATGCCTTCAAGAAGCAGACCACATAGAAGATTTCTATTATTAGCAATTTTAAGATTTAGGCTATCAAATTTAATACGCATTAAAGCCTTATAGAGCTGAAGGAATTTTGGTAATGTTTAAGAAAGATAAATTTAAGATGATTTCTGAGCATGTTATCAACTTTGACAATGAGATTCCTGATACTTTTAATAAGGCAAATTACTAAAGAAACAATAATGCTCTGATAATTTAATTAAAGCATTTAATTTCTGATTTAAATATAGTTATAGCTAATACGCATCTCTTTTGGAATCCATAGAATGAGGAAGTTAAACTACTCCAAACTGCTTAAATATTGCAGCATCTTACAAAGAATTATAAATAAGATGAAAATATAATTTTATGTGGAGATTTTAATTCTATGCCTACCAGTAACGTTATAAAATACATAACAGATAAAAAAGAACCCCACTTAAGCAGAGTTGAAAAGCAATTTGCAAAATACGTGCTTATCAAAGACATGATGGCTATTCATAATATGTTCAGTGAAATGAATTTAATTGATTTGAAGAGCTCTTATGATGATTATTTAAAAACTGGTAAACACCCTGAATTCACTAATTATACATAAAATTTCAAAGGAACTCTTGATTATATTTTATTTAACCCAAATATGAAGTAATTCTAATTATCTGAAGTCAGAGAAATACCTATAGATTTGATTAAAAAATAAAAGGGATTACCTAGCTAAGATTATCCTTCAGATCATTTGCCAATTACAGCTATTTTTAGTATAAACTAAGATGGTTAAGATTAGAAATAAAATTCAGAATATATAAATGACCAAAATTAAGATGATAATAATAATAATTTACCTCCAACCTAAGAAAAGTAAGTATGAAAGTGATATTTAAATTACTTTTCTTTTCATTATTAATACGAATAAAATAACTAATTAAAACATATTTTGTGTAAAAATCTTTTGAGTAAAAAGGCCATTAATTTATTTACTAAAAGCAGCCTTTTGAAATAAAGAAAATTTGTATTATAGCATAAAAGGAAAGTTCTAACAATACAAAACACTTAAAAATCACAAAAATTAAATATAAAAACTTTAATTTTGCAAATATTTTAATTATTATTTCAGTTTTTATTAATTTTTATGGGAAGAAATAAATAAAAAACCATTATTTAAATTATATGAATAACATATTTTACCTAAATAATATTTTTCAAAAAAAAAAGAAATATACTTTTTTTATTAATTTTAAAGAGATTTGAGATTAAAATTTCAAAATGAAAATAATTAGATAAATTAACTTAGTTTAATAGGTTATCAAGTAATACTTTGAAAAGAATATTTTTCATAAATAATGTTAATAAATTATTCAAAGTGAATAAATATTAAAAATAAATTTGAGTTTTATAAATAAAATAAAAATAATTATTAACATCCTTAATTGAAAATTAAAATAAATTCTATTATAGATATATGATTTACTACTTGGATCAAAATAAAATCTTTTTTAACTTATAAATAATTTAAAATTTTACTTTATTTTTGTATTGTCTTATTAATAATAATTTAATTTATCTAAGGATTAAGGTTTTTTTAATCAAAAATATTCAAAAAATAAAAATGATCAAATAAATTATCAAAACAATCAAATTAATGAATTTGATCATTATTTCATTTTTACTTTGGTAATTTATTATTGATCATTTCCTTTGGATGTTACTTTTATTGCACTTCTAGGTTTATAATTATTTGATTTATATAATTTTATGTATTTTTTTTAAAGATTTAAAAAATCTTCAAAACCAAATTAATTTAAATAATTATTATTAGATGTGAAATGGCTGCTAAATTATATTTAAAACTTTGAAAATAAGACGATTTTTCATGTAAGAATCTACACTATTAATTTGTATTTTAATCTATATATCTATCCTACATAAATGTACTATTAATATCTTTGTATCATTAGAACTTAGTAATATGCATTAGTACACTTATATACTTTAGTGACAAATAAGGATAGTAAAATACTGATTCTGATACTATTATTTTCAAAATATTACCATTATATATTAATAGTCTCTTCTGATTTACTTTCAATTTCTATTTTTAGAATCTTAATTAATAACTACTTAATAAATTTATATTCTTTTTGATATTTTATATTATCAGTATTATCAATATCATTATTATTTGTATCATATTGTTAATATTCTTCTTATAAAAGCTAAACTTCTTCTTTTAAACTACTCTAATAGTTATTTTATCAGTCTTCATCTATGAGACATTCTATTAATTAAATTAGTCTTTCTTCTTAAAATTGACTTTTTTTGAGTTTTTAATTATTTTAACAATTTTTATTGAAAAAAATAAAAAGTTTCTATTTATTTAAATGGTTGGTAATATGATTTACATAAAAAACAAACAGAGCTTCTCTTATTCTTTCAAGAAAAAATAAAATTTGTATTCATTTTTTCGATAAATTTAATTAATGATACTTTTTATTTAATTTGATGTATTATTTTTTATTAGATTAACATTAAATAATATGATCTTCTTTTAACTTTTCTTAAATATCTTAGGATATATCTAAAAATATACTTTTTTATTGATATTTTTAGGAAGTTAGAAAGAAGTAAAAATTTTAAGTTCTATTTTTAGAAAAAATTATAATCTTTGATTAACATTTTATTTTAGTTTATTTAACAAATGAAAATATAATTCTTTTAAATATAATGTCAGTCAACACATTTTTAAATATTTTAATTTTATTTCTTTTTTCAAATTAAAAATTATTTTTATTTAATTTAAGATAAATTTGTAAAGAAAAATAAATAAATATTTTTAAGATTTTAATTTTAAAGGCAAAACAAAATTCAATTAATTCTCATGAATAAAAAACAACAAAACAGGTTTTATTATCTTAAATCATTTTTTTTACCTAAATATACTTGATTTTCATAAATAAAACAGCCTTTGCTGAATAAAAAACAGACTTAACTTTTTTTTGTTTGTTTAACTTCTTAATCTAATTTAAATATTTTTGGAATCATTTAAGTGAAATAAACTGGTTGATTTATTAAGAAAAAGAGGAAGTATTTCTCATGTACATGAGTTAAATAATTTATACAAATATATTTTTTGATATTACATTTTTTATATTACTATCAAATTTGGTACTTTTTTGAATTATTAGATGGATTATTAAACGCGATAATTATTATTTATTCATAAAATTTAAAATATGTCAACAGGATTCAAAGATTGTGCAATAATTAATACGCTATTAATCTATCTATATTTAAAAATTGTATTAATAATTCGCTCTTGTGTTCATTTATTTTTTATAAAAATAGCTTTGAAAAATACTTACAAAAAAGGTCTTTGAAAATAGATTGTATATTTTATGAACTAACAGTCTAAATTTGATTTGATATTGGTGATAATTGTGATCATCGTCGATTTCTCCAAATTAGTAAGTAAGTGCTCGGATTGAGTTATAGTAATTTTTATTAAGCTCAAAAAAGGGTGAGGTTTAAATATAATTGCGGTATTTAATTTCTGATACGTAATATCAATCAATGTACATTTGAAATAGATTTGTACAAGAAATTAGGTCAACTAAAAGTTGATTAATTTAATTTACGCAAATAGCCTTAATTTAATATCTCTTAAATACATATCAACAAAGATGACGCCTGTTAGTATTTCGTTATATTAAGTCATATTGCACATACTTAAAATCTAAATAAATATTTACTTATTTATTTATTCATTTATTTGCTGATTTTACGTTTTAAAAATTAGAGCAATTCAACCAAATAAACTATAAAATAAATATATTTCAATATAATTCAATTCACCATCTCCTAATAAGTAAAACTAAAAAGCCATTTCATTAAGGAGAACCTCAATCATTAAAGTATTTCTCATTTCATTCATTCATTTTATTTCAGCAGAAAAAGATTTAAATAAATAAATTTATAGAAAGTTATTAGATGAGCAAATTTCATATCAAATATAATAAATCACAAGTTTTTTAAAAAGGGGCGTTTTAAATTTTTAATCGCCATGAATTTTTAAAAAAATGGATTAATGTCCAGCAAATAATTAACAATTTTAAAAAAAATAGTTTCAAGTAGATTAAAAAGGTTTAGGAGAAATAAGTAAGACCTATCCAACCATATAATTAAATAAATAAGAATAGGAATTTAAAAAATACAATAGATACAGAAATCCATATATAGATATATATATACAAATTCATTAATTCAAACATATTGTATTCTAACTAAATAAAGAGATTGAATTAAATACATAATAAGCTTATTTATAAAAGGAATACTTTAAGCTAGAATTTTAGAAAAGCTGATATAAAATATAAAAAGAGAAAAGCAGAATGATCAAGAATTTATCTAAAGGTAACTCAGGCATCCAACAGATTTTGAAGTCTCATTCAAGCTTATAAGTAAAAAAATATTTTTCTACTTCTTGGAAGTGGGAACATCTTAATTTATGGGAGAAGCCATTGAGTCTAAAAGAAAGAGCTCAAGAATCAAGTAGTTTAAAACAAGAATTAGAACAAAAATAGGTTTAGGCAAATAACTCATAAGAGGAGCTTTAATTAAGTGAACCATTGAGAACATCTCATTAGATCACTTTAAAGCAATAAATACCCATTAATAGCATCAAGGAGTACTTCAATTCTTTAGTTGTAAAAGAAAAAGGCACAACAAGCTTTGACGATTACTTAAAGCACAGAGCTTAATTAAAGTTATTGAACTAAGCAAATAATTAGCCACAACAATAGCATCAGGTATAACAGCCTTTACAGTAACAAACAATAACAAAATCAAGCTTCTCTACCCAAACAGCTTAAGCTTATGAAGAGCTTAAGTTATTAGCAAAAAAGAGGGGAATGACAGTAAGTCAATTTGTAGCTTTATCAAACCAAATGATAAGAACTTTGAATTGTAAGTCGACTTTTGAAGAAAGAAAATCTAACTATTCAGATGATTTAAAGAAGGAGTTTGAGGAGTACACAACAGAATAAATAGCCTAGATTCTCTCTTGCCATATAGAAATAGGTGGTATGTCTGATGGTGCTCTCTCCTCCTAAGTGCATAGACATTTGACTCATGCTGCCAATAAAACTGGAGTCTTATCAAATGCAGGTGAAGGAGGTGTAGAAGAAGATAGACACTAAACAATCGAAAATCCACTTATTATTTAGTGCGCATCTGGCCGTTTTGGATTCGTAAGAATTGTTTAGAAATTTATTGAAAAAATCTAAGATATTTTACATAATTTTTAAATATAAATGCTTCTATATTTAGAAAAAAAATTAATTAATTTCTTCAAAAAAGTAAGTAAAGATAAATAGATAGATTGATTAATATGTAAAAATATACAGCTAACAAAATTTTGTGAAAAAAATTGATAATAAAATATCAAAGATTTAAACAATTTGCAAATAAATTTGAATAAAAGTAGAACTTACTTAATAATTTCAATTAAGTTAATTAGAAATATTTTAAATTAATTAATTATTTTTTTTTGTAAAGAAAGAAAAGAAAAATAAATAAAATATTTACAAACCAGCAAAAATACAATTCTAAATTTTTATTAACATTTTAATTTGAATTAAATAAATGCCAAACTTTTTTTTTGCAAAATTATTTTTTTGTAAAAATTTCAGCTTGATTTTCAAATTATTATATTTATTTTGGTTTAAAAAAAAAATAAATAATTTTATTGAAATGACAATTTTGGATAATAAAATTAATTTAAGAATATAAATTTAAGCTATTCCAAATATATTTTAAATTAATTTATTTTTAAAATATTTAAAAGGATTTAACCTCAATTATTGAAGCTGATGAAGTATAAATTAAATTAGCATAAGGAGCTAAACCTGGTGAAGGAGGCCATTTACCTGGTTCGAAGGTATCTTTAAGAATTGCTGCTATCAGAAGAGCAAGAAAAGGAACTACTTTAATCTCACCTTAACCTTAGCATGATTTATATTCTATCGAAGATTTATATTTACTAATTCATGCTTTAAAGAGTGTAAAACCAGGAATTTAAGTTAATGTAAAGTTAGCATCAGATCCTGATGTTGCTATAACAGCTCTGGGAGCAGTCAAAGCTGGAGCTGATAGAATTACCATAGCAGGACATAGCGGTGGTACTGGTGCAGCTAAAATAAGCTCGATCTTTAACACAGGTATGCCATGGGAGTGGGGGGTTGCTCTTACTCATTAGATGCTTGATGCTTACGATTTGAGAAATAAAATACAACTTGTTGCAAGTGGTGGTATTGTAAACGGCTGTGATGTTGTAGAAGCTATTCTACTTGGTGCAGATAAAGTTGAAATTGGTACTTCAGCTTTAGTAAGTTTGGGATGCATTATGCTTAGAAAATGCCATTCTCCTAGATCAATTTCTATAGATTCTCTTATTTAACCATTAAAAAAGAGCGCTGAAAGCAAAAATATAGATGTCAACTTGTTAGCAAGAATGGTTTATGTAATATTTTTTAATCAAATTAGCTTTCTCCTTTATTTTCTGATATTAAAATAACTATTAAATTCAGTAAAATTTAAATGATTTAATTGATTAAATTTTAAAATAAGGATTCTTTGTGTGAGGCTGGATATGTTGAAGTGTCAACAGGCGCAGTTACTTTAGATTATTAAGAAATGGAAGAACGTCATGGAAATTTGAATGAGTTAGGTTTAGAAGAATCATTAGTCGAAATATCAAGAAAAGTATTAGAAAATGCAAGTGGTGGATGTACAGTTGGATTGAACACACAAGATCCTTTATACATCAAAAAATATGAAGGTACTCCAGAAAAAGCTTAAGATTTCTTGTTTATGATGGGACTTGGAGCTCTTAGATATATGAATGAAAAATGTAATTAAAAAGGTAGTTTGTATAAGCTGAGAGGCAGAGCTAAAGAATTTCTATAAAGCAACAGATTCTTCTCTGATATGGATATGTTACTGGGTATAACTCTTTATTCAAATTTATTTGTTATTTTTACTTATAACAATATCTATAACAGGTAAAATACAGCTTAAAGCTCAAAAAGGATATATTGATACTTTGCTTTAAATTCCATCAGAAAAAGACATCAAAGTAATTGAGAGAATTCAAAGTCATATCCAAGAGCACAAAAATTCTTCTGAAATACCACCACTTCTTATAAATGATATATCTCTCACACAATCTGATGTTTCATTTGGAGCTGCTATTAGTGGTTATTGCTAATATCATAACGTTAATTTCCCTATTAAAATACATCTCCACTCAAGTCATTAAGTTGGACCATAGAATTTTGGCTGCTTCTTGAAAAATAATATAACACTTGTTATTGAAGGTAGTTGCAATGATCATGTAGGAAAAGCTAACTCAGGAGGAAAAATTGTTGTTAAGAAGAAACAAAATAACTTAAAAGTAATTGTAGGTAATTCTATTGGATTCGGTGCTACTTGTGGTGAAATGTATATAGATGGATGTTCTGGAACTAGATCTTTTGTTAGAAATTCAGGAATGGAAGCTGTTGTAACTGGCAACGTAAATGATCATTTCTGTGAATTTATGACAAGAGGTAACGTTGTTGTTTTAGGAAAAGTTGGTAGAAACTGTGGAGCAGGTAAAAATTTCATTTAATAATTGAAATTATTTTTTTTTTAGGTTTTAAATGAAATATTCAAAAATTAATTTTAATTTTAATTTAAAAATGAAGGAATGACTGGAGGCTACTTATTTTTGAACTATGATATTGAGTAAAATAGAAAAAATGTAACAGGTAAGAGATTCTTAAGCTTAGAAGAGCATAGTGATGCTCGTGACATATTTAAGAGGTTAGTTGAGAATTGCTACAAAGAAACTTAATCTAAAGAAGCTAAGCATGTTTTGGATAATTGGTAGGAGTCTGTCAAAAAATTCAAGTTCCACAATCCATACAATTTGAACTTTTTATTGGAGTCAGACTACCTAAATAAAAGTAAAAAGGAAAATACATATGAGTTATTTGCCAGCGATTCTGGAGTTGGAGAATCACTAGCTAAATTGTTTAATAGTAAAAAAAGATAAACTCCCTTTTCGTTTAGATTTAATGGTGTAGCAGGAAACGACTTTGCTTCGTTTTGCCCTCCTTAATGTAATATGATTTTCGAAGGATCCAGACTTGGATAATTTGTTGGATATGCTAGTAAAGGAAATGTTGTATTGAACTAAAAATCAGCTGGTAAACTTAGTGGCGCATTTACTGGAAGATATCCTTTCATGAGATCAAGTGCAAACATTTTTGTTAAATCTGAAAATGAGCTGGGACACCATGCTCTTTTTCAATTTAATGGTACTGCAATAATTACAAATACTGGCGTTAACTGTTGCCATGAGCTCAGAGAAAATGCTAAAGTAATTGTGTTGGGAGAGATTGGACATGGGTTTGCTAAAAATGCTCATCTTTAAAGCACGATTATTGTTAATGTAAATAAAGCTGCTAATGTCAACGAAGATAGCTTGAAATAGTTAACATTTTAATAATCAAAGTGGATCCTTGAGTATTTTAGATAATTTTCTAAGCTAATTCCTCATAATTCTCCTTAAGGTACTACCTCTAAAAAGTCGTAATAACATAATAGTCAGGAAAAAGAAATAATTTTCTAAAATGGAGATCTAGTTATTTATAATGACACAAACAACTAGTTTACAGAATTAGAAAATATCAAAATGATTGAGAAGCATTTTAGAATGTTTAATCACGAAAAAGACTTTTACAGCTATAAAAATATCAAAGAGAGAGAGAAAATCATCAAATTAGCTAAAAATCTTTTAAAAATATAGCAATCTGCTGGATGGAATTCTGAAATTTAAACTTGCATAGAATCTATAGCAAAGAGTGGTCTTGATGAAATGACTTATTCGATGGGTGATTAACTTAACTTTTAAGATAGGTTTATGAACTCAGGTTCTAGTACTAATTTTTATGGCTTATTTAGATAGCCATTTGCTTAAGAAACTCGTCCACCTGTAGATGCTGACTCTGAAAGCCAGTTTATCAACACTGACATATATATAAAAGCTTATTCCCCAAATGAATATAAAGAAACATACTACAAATTTGATCACCCAATAATTAGTTCCAGCTAATTAGAATAATTACTTCATTAAGTAAATCCTATTGAAGTAGATTTAAGGTATAAAATTATTATTATTTTTATTAATTCCATCAATTAAAAATTCATTTACCTAATAGATGTGATGTCTTCGAAATACAAGTGGCTGAGACCACAGTTGAAGAGAAAATTGATATGATTTTGAAGCAAATTAGAAACGAAATAGTTGTTGGTAATAAGAGAGTGATTTTATTTACCCACAGATTAGGATCAGAATCAGAATCAAGAACTAGCGATCATATAGAAACATAAAGAGATGACTCTTTTAACGATCAGATGCACTTGGATTCTTGGGTTATTATTGGTTTAATAAGACAAAGACTAAAAAAAGAGGGATTAGTTGATTTCGATGTTATTTTGGAGACAGATGAACCCATTGATCCTCATTCTTTAGATGTACTTTTAAATGTCTGTGGTGTTAAATTAGTCTATCCAAGAGCTGTTGAAAAACACTTCTCTGTTCTAGCAAACAGATATAAAGATTTAAGAGGAGCAACTTATACCAGCCAAGAATTATGGAGAAATTATGCTATTGGAATGCAAAAAGCTCTGAAGAGAATTATAGCAAAAGATGGTGATGTTGATTTAAGCACTAGAGTTTACGCATAAACTTACACTTGTTTATTCCTCCAAAAGAAGTTGGCAAATTAAATTGGTGTTGAATCTTTCTTTAGTGCTGAAGCCCTAAATCTAGGTTTTATTGCATCTGTTTTCTAAAATCGCTTTATGGGAACAATTAATGATGGTATATTAAACAGCTCAAATCTGTAATCAAATACAAAAGTAAAATTCATTAGTTATACTAAATAAGAAATAACTTATTTTTTTAAATTATAATAAAAGATTGAACAGGATTTAAACAAGGGGAATATGCTCAAATCTAGTAAAAAGTTTTAACATTTGTGGGATAATAAGAGAGTTGATGCTCTTTAGACTATGATTGCAAAACCCTCTTTAGATTCTTTCTTTGCTTACTTCGAAAAATTAACAAGAGTGAACATTAGATAAAACTTTAAAGATAGACCTCATACTGTATCTGTTGCTGTTATTGGAGCTGGTCCAGCTGGTTTAGAGACGGCTATATAAATATCAAATAATTATCCAGAAGTTGATGAGATAGTACTTTTTGACTCTTACTTTGCACCTGGTGGAAAAATTATTGATGCAGTTGCTCCTGATCACCCAATCACAAAAAAATAATTAAAGAATTTCTCTATTTTCGAACATGAAAAAATTAAATTTGTAGGAAATTCCTATATCGATTAACGTCGTATGAGATACATTTATGAACAATTCAGTGCAGTATTTTTAACTCATGGTGCAACTCCCCGTAAACTTGCTGAAAATATTTCAGGAAAAGAATACGTCATTTCTGCAGACGATGTTGTTAAATGGTATAACTCTAAGACAGATATGAATGATAATAATACTGAAGGTATTCCATTCTACAGAACTGAAAAGGCTCATCCACCTTGCCCTTTTAGCATCCCAGAAACAGAATCGATATCTATAATTGGCGTTGGTAATGTATCACTTGACATAGCAAGAATTTTATTAAGAAACCCTGACGATGCTATATTAAAAGACAACATCACCACTTATGTATACAACGAACTCAAGCGCTCCAGAGTAAGAAATGTCACTTGTATTGGCAGAAGAGAACCGTATGAAGCTAAGTTTGGAATGCCAGAGCTGCTTGAATTAAAAGACTTAGCTGATAATGAAAAATAATTTTAATTAGCTGCTTAATTTGATTTATTAACAGCTTCTGCAAATGTTGAAAAAATCAAGCAAAAACTTATTAAAAAGCAATAGTCTCTTGCATAATTATAATCGTAACCAAAACAAAAGGAGCAATAAGATCAAGCTGATTAACTTAAAGAAGAAGTAGAAGAACTTGAAAATAGAATTTAACTCTTTGAATTTTTCAAGCAATATCATAAAACTCCAGAATAAATAAATGAAATGAAACAAAATTCAACTATTAAGTTTATTAACTTTATCTTCAATGAAGATATTGATCCTGTTAAAGGATTTGAAAAATAAAGTGGAACCAACAGAGTCATGGGACATTTCATATCAGGCAATACAATTGAAGCAGAAGCTTTTATTGCATCTTTGGGCTATTAGCCTCATATGCCTGTTTCAAATATTCTTTAAATAACACCATCTGGTTAAACTGGATTTTCCACTCAAAAATAAGCATAATAATCTCAAGCTGGTACGATTGCCTAAACACCAACTTATATAGTTCCAAACCTTCTTGTAGCAGGCTAAGCTAAAACTGGTATCGGCACTATAGGTAATTTTAAAAATATACAAAAAAATATTTTAAAAAAACTAAAACTATTTAAACAAGTTAAATATACTTATTTTTTATTTAAATAATAGGACACACTAAGTCAGATGTGAAAACACTATTGAAAAACTTTAATGCAGAAAACTTACAAAAAAAGCCTTCAGTTGAGGGATTCCTCGAAGATTACTACTATAAATAGGGAGCAGTGTCTAAGGATATAGTATTGCAAATCATGCAATCCTTAAGATCTCACTATACTTAAAAGTACATCACTCCAAGTGTGATTAAAAAGCATATTGAGAATTATAGAAAGCTTTTGTTCATGTAACAATAGGCTGATAAAGGAGCAACTATTACCAAATAATCTGATATATAAAACAAAAATGTCCAGCAATCTGACACATCTAAGTAGCCTAGAAAATTAAAAATCTTATAAGATCTTAGTAAATTATTAGAAATATATAAAATATTTTTTTTAATTTCTTTTTAAACATAAAGATGACAGTAATCCTAAAGAAATTGAGCTTCCTATTTCAGATAAAAGTTTGAGAGATTGCCTTAATATAATGTAAGGTGATTGCGAATCAGGTAATTTTAATCTAATTTTAACAAAATAAATTTCTAAAAAATTATTAAATTTTTATTTAAAGGTAGTTGCGGAGGATGTTTTGTATTCACTCAAGATCCTGTTGAGTAATACGAATAGGCAGAGCAAAAAATAGCAATTTCAAAGGGTGGTTTAAGTGCTGAATCTATTCCAAAAGAGTGTAAAGCTATCCTCAGTTGTTAGCACACTGCCAAAGATTTAATGAGTGATAGAATCACTAAGTTGATATTATCAGGATCGAATCGCTCAGCTTGCGGTATTGGTGTTCACAAGACTAAATAATCTTCTATTGAATTTGTTTAGAGTGCCGTTCGTCACTTGAAAGACGATTTAGCTAGAGGAGCAGGAGTTAGTGGCTACGGTGATGGAGCTGGACTTCTTTTGAAAATAGACTGGGACTTTTTTGAGAGTTATGGTGGTTTCTCCTAATCAATTTTGGAGAACTTTGACGAAATTAAAAAATCTTTAGCGATTTGCTAAGTATTTATTAGAGATAATAATGATATAAAATTAATAGAAGATAAACTAACTCGCTAGGGTTTGGCTGTAATTCATAAACGTGAAGTCATTATAAACTAAAAGAAATTCATTTTAGGAGAAGCAAGATAGCATCCTCTTTCTTATTAATTCTTTGTAGTGCCTCAATAACCAAATACACTTGATAAAATTATATAAAAGATTTAACAAAATCCTCGTTCAGTTGTAACAGAAACAGATGCACTGGCCTCAATCTCAACTAAATACGTGTGCTATAAGTTGGCTTCATTTGCTTCAGAAATCGAAGCATATGAAGATTTGAACCCTAAATACGGCTACAAAGCAGATACAATTCTAACTCATACCCGTTTTGCAACAACTACTTTATAACCTAAACTGACAGGAAATGTTGCAACAGCTGCAATCAAGGCTCACCCTTTCTAAAATTTAATCCACAATGGTGAAATAGTAACAAAGAGATCAATCATTTCTTATCTTGAAAAGAACTCAGAATTGTTTAAGGAAAAGGGTATATTAATTGATAGAGAAGAGCTCATAAAATGCAGTGATTCATATGTTCTTTAAAGATACATTCAATGCTTAAAATCGCTTTATCCTGAACTGTCTCTTGAAGATATTATACATATGATCACACGCTCAACAAGAGGAGATTCTTAACTCTCTGAATATGCAAGGGCTAAAGGCATGCCTTAAGTGTGTGGTCCTTGCAATCTTTCAATGTATGATGAATACAATGATACACTTGTCTTTTTCAGAGACAACAGTGGATTTAGGCCAGCTATCTTGGTAACACAAGAAGATTAAATTCATATAGTTTCATAGCAATAATGCTAATCTCTAAATGACAAGGTCAGTCTTCTTGAAGAAGGCTAAATCTATGTAATAAATAATTAAAATGTATTTAGAGAATATACACCCAATGACACTAAAGTACCTAAAAATTTCCAAATTAAGACATTACCATCTTGAACTTATTTATAAAGCTATCAATTATATATAATTAATTTTCAAATTTTATAATAATATTTCAATCAATTAGTGCTTGTTTGTAAACTAATAATATATTAAAAAATTTTACCATTTTAACTTACTTCAAAAAAAAAACCTACGAATCAAAGAATTAATATTTTTTTAAGTTATATTGTTGTATCTTCACCATAAAGTAAATAAAAACAAACTGATATTAGCTTTTAAAAAAATTTTATTAACACCATTCAATTTTTGTGTTTATTGTTTTTAGTCTTGTCTACCTAATATTATTTTTTATTTGTTTAGTTTCCTTAAAACAAAACATAGATAGATTATTTAATATTATTTATTTATTAATAAATTATTTTGAAAGAATTTTAATTGATGATTTAATTCAAAAAATTAAAAAAAATTATTTAAAATATAATTTTTGCTATCAATAAACATTAATTGCTTCAAAAATAAATATTCTAAATCACTTTAAATTATTCTCTAAGAAAACTCAGAGATATTTTAAAATAAATAAAATAAAATATATAGTAAATCCTCATTAATTAAGGCTTTTTACTTACTAAAATTTTTGGAATAGTTTACTAACTTGAAAAAAGAAAAATATTTGTTTTATATTTAATTTTGATTACTTTTAAAATAATTAAAATTAAAAACTTACTTTTTTTATTTAATAAATAAAATACTTATCTCCAGTAATTAAAATAATCTTTTTTATATTTCTTATTATTTTATTTTTTCATTTTGCTTTGAAATAGTTAACACAGACTACTCTTTTTAGCTTACATAACTATCTTTTAACAGTTCTGGCCTTATTTTAGTTTACATCAATATTAATTTTAACAAGGGATTTGGCTTCTTCAATGTGTCTTCTGAAATTGCGATAGAAAAGTGGTTTTACTTATTACCTTTCATTGAAAAAACATATTTTAATATTAAGCTCGATGAGAGAGTTTTTGTTATAATATGAAAATTTAAAGAAGTCTTTAGATATTGTTAAATTCTAGAAAACCGTATCACAATAATCAAAATAAATAGTGAGTTTTTAAAGATTTAGTTAATTTTGATAAATTGCTGCTTGATACAACAATATATCTAAATGCCTGCAAGATTGTGTTGAAATATATTATTATTATTTTTAGTTTATTTGAGTTTATTCTATTTACTAATTTTAATTTTGAAGTTATTTATCAGAATTATTTTCTGATTTTGATTCAACTTTCTCAAAATTTTATTTTTGCTATTAAAGCTCACCCTGAATATTTTATATTTAGATATTATCTTAAATTGATATAATTTAAAATAAATTTGAGTTGAAAAGCTCTTCTTTAATGTTTGTTTCATATTCACAATAGACCCAACGATGTATAAAATCAATTCTGAACATTTATAATTAATTATTCTGAAAACATTCAAACCTATTTTTGCTTCTGCATTTATAGCTATTTATTACAAGATCAATTTATCCGTTATATTACAAATAAACTTAGAAATTTCCAACACTAATATCAATAATATTTTAAAATTCTAAAACAAGTAGCTATTTATCATTTTCAAGCATACGAAATGCTGTGCAGCTAAAAAATTTATTTTCATTTAAAAAAACTGTTAGCTACTAAATTAGATTTTACTTACTTAACTCAACAGTTTCATGCTATTAATTCTAAAACACCAAAAAAAAGTTATCACTGACTCTTTTTAAATCATTTGCTTCTTCTTTCTTATTTTTTAATAGCTACTAAACTCTTATATCACTTAAATAGAACTCTAAATTGGCATTTTCAATCAATTTAGAATCATAGTTTTTTAACTCATTTTGATCAACTTCTTATAGCAATTGATCAGAAATATAATCATAAGCCAGTTTCTACTTTTCAAAATACCAATCAAAATCAATGTGCTAAAAAGAAGAAATGAGTATACCAAATGGACGGATATCAATTACCTTTATATTCCTGATTAATTAAAATATTTCTAATAAATCATAGAATTGCTATTTCATAGGCTCTATGCCTTTCTCCTAATTTCTAAAACTATAATTTAGGTAAGACCAAAATTTTAATCTTATAAATTCTAACTCTTTCATGTTTTTGATTCCACTCAGATCAAACAAATTGCATTCGTCCATTGTAACTTCTAACTTTAATTTCTTTAGCTTATTGCAATTTTTTAAAAGGTTTTCTAAATGAACTCTACTATTTTGGTCTTACTAATCTTTATAGACACAATAGAATATTGAAAATACATTTTAAAATTTATATCCTTTTAAGCTAAGTGATCTAAGGTTATTATTTTTTGACATGCTCTAAATTTTTTCAAGTCCTCGAGAATCTATATGAGATTCAAAATCGTATTTAATCTTTTCAATATTCAATTCAAAAACATGCGGATTGTTGCATTAATCATATTTACTCCTAAAGATGTCATAGCTGCTATCACTACTACTATCAGAATAAAAATCATCTTCCTCAAATTAATTGATTTCTTCCTCTCCATAATTATCATTATAGACATAATAGCCAAATTATTTTTTTGTATCAATATATTTGTTAATTGATATCATCCATTTTTTATTTATCTTAACATGTTTGTCCTCTAATTAGTACTTGTAAATTTATTAAAAAACCCCGAATAAATCCTCTAACTTTTAAATGTAAAAGAAAATCTGCTAACTTTCACTTTGCATTTAAAATTCTTGTTAAATAATTTAAGATACATGCAGATTATCAAAGTATCTATATATCTCTCTTTTAAACTATTTTAAAGCTTTCATATCTATTACACTGCTATAAATAGAATGAATGAGTGAAAATATGATTAAATTAATTTCATCTTTGTCATTTTCAAAATCCTTTACAAAAGTTTTTTATTAATCTTTTTACCTCAAAAACAGAGGATTCTAAAAGTAAATATCAGGTAGCTTTTAGTTAAATTGAATAGGAATGAATACAATAATGCTAGAGGCGTTAATTTTACCATGGTAAATCTAATTTTTATAGAGCTTATTGATAAACCTAATGAGTTAAACTATAACTTATAAGATTCTAAGTTAGTCTATTTTAGCATCTGATGTACTATAAGTAATATACTCAAGTGTGTGATAATGAGTTAGCTTATCGTTTTTCTCTTCCTCTTTTTTAGAACTGCTTTAAAAATTGTTGAACTAATTTTGCACCTAAGTCTTTTATTTTTATCTTTATATTTAACTCTGATAAGGGAGAATCTTTTCTTCAACAAGTAAGTAAACAAATTCATTTTCTAAAAGTATAATTTCTATATTTTCTATAGGCACTAGCATATTACTTAAAGCTCCATAGTATATGTGATATTCATTTAACTATTA